CCACCCTTCCAGCCCTCCGAGGACCGCCAGAAATGGGAAGAAAAGTGCAGGGTTGCCGTCTGCATTGGGCACTTCACCAAGACGGTTGCTGAAACGGGTTCAGCCAAAACCCTCAAGTCTGCCTCCAGAGGTCATGGGTGCTCCATCACTGGAGGTGTTCAAGGAGAGACTGGATCACTTTTTGTTTGGAATGAGTTCTCTGCTTGAGCAGGGGGCTGGACTAGAAGACCTCCAAGGTCCCATCCAACTCTGTTATTTGTGTGTGTGTGTGTGTGTGAGAGAGAGAGAGAGAGAGAGAAAATAAGGAAGGAAGAAAGAAAATAAGGAAGGAAGAAAGAAAATAAGGAAGGAAGAAAGAAGGAAAGAAAATAAGGTAGGAAGGAAGAAAGAAAAAAGAAAGGAAAGGAAGGAAGGAAGAAAAGAAAAAGAAAGGAAAGGAGAGGAAAGAAAGGAACAAAGAAAGAAGGAAAGAAAGAAAGAAAAAGAAAGAAAAAAAAGGAAGAAAGGAAGGAAGAGAAAGAAAGAAAGAAAGAGAAAGAAAGAAAGAAAGAAAGAAAGAAAGAAAAAGAAAGGAGCTTCTTATCCAACTGCCTGCTCAAACAACGAGACAAATGGCTGTCCAGTCTCTTCTTCAAAACCTCCAGTGATGGAGCATCCAAACTTCTGGAGGCAGGTTGTTCCACTGGTTGTTTGTTGTTACTGTCAGGAAGTTTCTCCTTAGTTCCAGGTTGCTTCTCTCATTGATTAGTTTCCATCCGTTGCTTCTTGTCCTGCCTTCAGGCGCTTTGGAGAATAGCTTGACACCCCCCCCCCTCGTATTTGTGGCAGCCCCTCAAATACTGGAAGACTGGTGTCACGTCCCCCCTCGTCCTTCTCTTCCTTAAACTAAACCTGCCCAATTCCTTCAAGCATTCATTGTACAGTTTATCCTCCAGCCCCCGAATCATTCTTGATGCTCTTCTCTGCACTCTCTCCAGAGTCTCAACATGTTTTTTATATTGTGGTGACCAAAACTGGGATGCAATATTCCAAGTGGGGTCTCACCAAGGCCTTATAAAACGGTACTAACACATCACCTGGTCTTGATTCTACCCCACGGTTAATGCAGCCCAGGATCGCATTGAATCAGCTAAGGAATATCTCTGACAAGGTGACCCAGTGGGGCAGGGCTGTCTCCTGCCTCACAAAATCCCTCCTTTTGTTATCTAGAAGATACTGATATTCAGAGAAATAAACCGATCGGTTTGGACTCTTAAGCACAGGACATAAGGGAAAATGCTATTTTAAAGAATGTAATAGGAGACCCGGTGAGATGATTGGAATAAAGCCATTAAAAGATATAATTTCTTCAAAAAGAACAGAAGCAACAGACAGGGAGGATCTGTGCTGTGCATTGAATGTTTCCATTTCTGTTGAGAAATTGAAATTAACGATCTTGCCAATGTTCTGAAGAACGTCTGCATTAAAATACCCAGAGGAAAATATAAGCTCCATGGCAGCTGTGAACCAAGAGGAAAATATGGCTGATGCCTCCTAAAATGGGACCCAGGGGGGCTCACGGACCACTAAAGACCCCTCTCCTGGGTGCAGAATCCTGCTCCGGAGGTCGCAGGGGGCAAGGCCTGGGTGCTGAACTGGGCTGTGGGTCTGGAGCAGTGGCCACCCCAGTGTTCAATGGCTATAATAATAATAATAATAATAATAATAATAATAATAATAATAATAATAATAATAATAATAATAATAATAATAAAGTTGGAAGGGGAATAATAATAATAATAATAAAGTTGGAAGGGACCTTGGAGGTCATCAAGTCCAACCCCCTGCTCAGGCAGGTAACCCTATACCATTTCAGACAAATGGCTGTCCAGTTTCTTCTTAAAAACTTCCAGTGTTGGAGCATTCACCGCTTCTGGAGGCAGGTTGTTCCACTGGTTAATTGTTCTCACTGTCAGGAAGTTTCTCCTTAGTTCCAGGTTGCTTCTCTCCTTGATCAGCTTCCATCCGTTGCTTCTTGTCCTGCCTTCAGGCGCTTTGGAGAATAGCTTGACTCCCTCTTCTTTGGGGCAGCCCCTGAGATACTGGAAGGCTGCTATCCTGTCCCCCCTCGTCCTTCTCTTCATTAAACTAGACAGACCCAATTCCAGCAACCGTTCCTTATATGTTTTAGCCTCCAGTCCCCTGATCATCTTTGTTGCTCTTCTCTGTACTCTTTCTAGAGTATCAGCATCTTTTTTACATCGTGGTGACCAAAACTGGATGCAGTATTCCAAGTGTGGCCTTACCAAGGCCTTGTAAAGTGGTATTAACCCTTCATGTGATCTTGATTCTGTCCCTCTGTTAATGCAGCCCAGCACCTTTTTGGCAGCTGCAGCACACAGCTGGCTCATATCTAAGTGATTGTCCACTAGGACACCTAGGTCCCTCTCACAGTTGCTACTATGACTGATTGACCTTGAGCCGTGATTAGAGTCCTCACCCCTGGTGGGCTTGGGCAGCTGCAACTCCCTGCCCTGTGGCAGGGGAAGGACCTGTGCTCAGCTCCCCCACTGGAGGAGGGGGCTGCTGGGTGGGTTTGAGCCCACTCGCAGGAAGATCTGGAAGGGGAGGGCAGCAGCCCCTTCCCCTTGTCCATGCTGGAGAACTCCATGGCCTGTCCAGAGCTTGCAGGGGGGGAGGGCACACCCCTCCAAGCAGATGGTTTGGCCCCGGTGCCTCTGGGACATGCACAGATCCTGGCAGATACTTGGGGGCCAGGCCAGCAGTTCCCTCTCGCAGAAGGAACCCCAAACGCTCCGATTCCTGGTCTTGGAAAGTTCCCTCTTTTACAGAGGACGTTGTCACCCAGGCCGCTGTAGGAGCAGCTGACAGGCGGCCATCAGACGGCCTGACAGGTGGCCATTTGAACAGGTGTAAGGAAGCTATGCAGCCTACATGAGAGGCTGTTGTTGGACAGGCTAAGACGGGTCTTCAAACTTGGCCCTTTTCTGACTTGTGGACTTCAACTCCCAGAATTCCTCAGCCAGGCACACGTGCCTGGCTGAGGAATTCTGGGAGTTGAAGTCCACAAGTCAGAAAAGGGCCAAGTTTGAAGACCCCTGTCTTAAATCTAACAAACAAAATGGAGGCTGGCTGAGGAATTCTGGGAGTTGAAGTCCACAAGTCATCAAAGGACCAAGTTGGAAGACCCCTGTCTTAAATCTAACAAACAAAATGGAGCCTGGCTGAGGAATTCTGGGAGTTGAAGTCCACCAGTCACCCAAGGACCAAGTTTGAAGACCCCTGTCTTAAATCTAACAAACAAAATGGAGGCTGGCTGAGGAATTCTGGGAGTTGAAGTCCACAAGTCATCAAAGGGCCAAGTTGGAAGACCCCTGTCTTAAATCTAACAAACAAAATGGAGGCTGGCTGAGGAATTCTGGGAGTTGAAGTCCACCAGTCACCCAAGGACCAGGTTTGAAGACCCCTGTCTTAAATCTAACAAACAAAATGGAGGCTGGCTGAGGAATTCTGGGAGTTGAAGTCCACAAGTCAGAAAAGGGCCAAGTTGGAAGACCCGTCTTAAATCTAACAAACAAAATGGAGGCTGGCTGAGGAATTCTGGGAGTTGAAGTCCACAAGTCATCAAAGGACCAAGTTTGAAGACCCCTGTCTTAAATCTAACAAACAAAATGGAGGCTGGCTGAGGAATTCTGGGAGTTGAAGTCCACCAGTCACCAAAGGGCCAAGTTTGAAGACCCCTGTCTTAAATCTAACAAACAAAATGGAGTCTGGCTGAGGAATTCTGGGAGTTGAAGTCCACAAGTCACCAAAGGGCCAGGTTTGAAGATCCCTGGGCTAAGAGGTGGCTATTCCATGTGCTAAGAGAAGGCCAGGTAGGCCAGCAAGGTGGCAACAGGCGGAACACAACCGCTGCAGCATGGACACAGCAGTCCAGCTTGGGAGGTGGCTGGGGACTAGCTGGGAGACTCCAATTGGACCAGCTGGGAGGTGGCTGTTGGAACAGCTGGGAGAAAGCCAGTGGAAATACAACGGACAGTGTCCGGCGTGACTTTACTCCTCCCGAGGAAGCAGTTACAGCCGAATGGACAGAAAACGTGCAAGAGGTAAAACAAAATCAACCTTTTATTTCCAAAAAATGACACCCGTGATACGATGCACGTATCTACAGCAACACAGGCAGCGCTCCGAAGGCCCTCCCCAAAAGGAGGACTGGGGGAGGGAGGGGGAAGGGAGGAGGGGAGGGAGACGGCACTGAAGTTGGGCCTCAGCTCCCAATGAACCAAGAGAAAAGAAAAAAAAGGCCGGAATCTAGCCTGGAATCAGAGTTTGTTCAACTTCTGCAGAGAAGAAGGAATCAGAGCTTCTCGCCTGCCTGGGCAAAGGGTGTTAAACCTCCACACGATACGGGGAGGGAGCAGTTAAAGTAATTTCAGCCAAGGGCAATTTGAGCAGGGGGTTGGGCTAGAAGACCTCCAAGGTCCCTTCCAACGCTCTCTTTCCGTTAAAGCCAGGTATCCAAATTCTCCCCCAGCGTGAAGCAGCTCTTAGAAAGGCAGAGCCTGCTTTGGATTCCAGGACAAGGGGGGGGCAAAGTGGGGAGCAGACGAAGCCCCCCCTCCCTTCCAACCACGGGTGATTAGTTCCAAAGCGGCAAAGAGCAGGCCCCCCCCATGAAGTCTCCCTGAAGGATTCCACGGGCTTCTCTCTCTCTCTCGGCTGCTTCCTGAGCGTAGCTGGGGAAGCGCTGGGGGCTGTAGCCCCCCACTCCGTTCAGTGGGCCAGGGCCGGGGCAGGAGAGAATTGACCCCCCCTTCCTGCCCCTGGCAAGTCTCCTGCAGGCGGTGGGGGCCCGGGAGCCCCGGGCAGCATCCGGCCCTCCCAGCAGAGAGGCAGCACCCGTTAGCTGGCCAGCCAGGGAGGGGTCAAAGCTGCGCAGCGATGGCCCCACGTCCAGAGGCATTTCGAAGCAGGGGGGGCGAGGGGGGCCTGAGCCGGCCTCATTGTTCAGGGCACTTCAGGACGTCCTGCTTGAAGTAGCCCACCCGGTTCACCTGATACCGGGGGGTCATTTGCCAGCAGAAGGGGTGGCGGCAGAAGTGGAACCGGCCTGGAAGAGGGGAAGCGGCTGGTGAAGGTGAGTGGGGGCTGTGGGGCGGCCACGGGGAGGGAGGCGCAGGGGCCCCCGGGGGACGCCTCCTCGTGGCCAGGGGAGCCGGGCAGAGGAGAGGCCTGGGGTTCAGGGGCAGCACCCCACCTGAGGCTGTTCCCGCTCCTGGCCCTCTCCTGCCCTCCTCACCTTTGTAGAGCTTCCTGCATGTGTGTGTGTGTGTGTGTGTGTGTGTGTGCGCCTCCCCTTTATAAGAGAGCTTCTTCTGCCCCCCCTCCTGCCCCCCTCCTGCTCTGGAAGTACCGGCCAGTCAGCCATACTGATGCTCTGGCTCAGTGCTGCCCTCCAGTGGTCATCTGTCTCCTGCAGCCCTCCCCCCACCCCCCCACTGTTAGCTGGGGCTCCCCCCTTGCACAGCGGAGACCCCCCTGCAGAGGACCCGCGAGGGGGGCTGTCTGGACCCCCCTGAGGCTGTCCCCCCTCCTGCCCTGCTTACCCTTGTACTGGAAGACCAGGTCAGCATCGATGGGGACCCCGGGAAAGAGGCTGTCCAGATAGCGGGGAAACCCCTTGTCCACCTTCTCCTTCTTCACATCCAGCCTGGGCGGGGGAGGGGGGAGGAAAAGTTAGCAAGATCCCTCTAGATGCCCTCTAGATGCCCCTGAGGATGCCTCTTCCTGTGCCGAGATCGGTAGTCCCAGCTCTGCTGTCCTCCTGCCAGGGGCTCCAGCCTGTCTCGGGGGTTGCAGCCTCCCCCCCCAGCCCAAAGTGGCCAGGCCAGGCCCAGGCAAAGCAGCTGGGGAGAGCTCAGGCCAAGGGGGAGGGGGGGTCCACCTGAGAATGCCGGAGCCCCCCCTGGCTGGCCGCTGCTTGAGGTCCCTGGAGGCTGAGCAGTCCCTGTCCCCTCAGCCCAGCCTTTGGCTCCCCAAAGCAGGGGACTAGGCAGAGCCCCCCCCCAGGTTCTGCCCCTCCCCCAGGCCCGTGTACCTCCAGAACTGATCTCCGCTGAAGAGCAGGACCCTCCCCTGCCTCCGGACCAGGCTGCCCGCAATCTTGGCCACGTCACTCCCGATGCCCAGCTTGTCCAGGCTCCGAGGGCCGACCACCCGCGTCCCCTGGTACACCCAGAAGCGCTGGCCTGCAAGAGGAAGGGGAGGGTGGGTGGCGGAGCAGGGCCTCCCCCCGGGCAGAGGAGCCGGCCCCGAGGGCTCCAGGGGGGGCCCTTCCTGTCCCTCGGCAGGGGGAGAGGCAGGGGGGATCCGGAAGCTCAGAGCCGCCCCCTTAAGGGCCGATGGCCGGAGGGCCATGACTCCCTCGGGTGGGGAGGGGGCCTCACCTGAGAAGAAGAAGAGCTTCTTGGTCAGAGGGTCCTGGAAAGCCGCGTCAATCACGTCTGGGAGGGCCGGCCAGGTGCTCTGGATCCGCAGGGGGCCCTGGAGGGGTCCGGCCCCGGTGCCCGACTTTCGCCAGTATTGCCTGAGCAGGAAAAGGCAGCTCAGTCTGACCTCAGTTTCCCCTGCTGCGCCCAACACCCAGCCCTTCCAGGCCAGCCGTGGACGCAGGGAGACCCTGCCCCCTGGCTCTGCCCAGCCCCCTTCCTGCCCAGCCCCCTCACCCGTCCTTGAAGAAGTGCAGCAGTTTCTGGATCTCGCCCACCGCATCGAAGCGCTCCACGCGGCAGGCGCTACTCTGGCCGTCCACCGCGGGGGTCTCCGTCACGGAAGAGCCATCGTCGTCCCCAGCTTCTGTGGGGGCCTGAGAAGGGGGGCTGGGCACCGTGGGCTGAGGGCCTGATCCTCGGCCTAATGGGGGGGGGAGAAGAGAAGGAGGAGGAGCACAAGCATCAGAGGCACTGATTTGGGGGTGGGAGGGGAAGTCAGAAAAGCCCCTCCCCTAGTGCAGAAGCAGCTCAAGAGAGGAGCCACGACTCGGGGGAGGGGGCGACTCTCCTTCGCTGATGGGGATTGCTGTGCTGGGCAGGGGTGGACTGGAGGACCTTCAGGAGTCCTTCCACATTATGCTAAAGGAAATTGGGTCTTGTATTACTCATGGAAACGGCTTCCAGACCAGGGTCACTCAGGACAGGGTGTGTGAACAGCCCACCCAGCCCCGAGCCCCCCCAATTCCTTTGGGAGCTTCTCAGGCAGGACCGGATTGCTGCCTGACGAGGGCGGACATCTTCCTTTTCTGTTCCCCCCCCCAGCAGCCCCTCCCCCCCGCTCACCATAGAGATACTGGATTCCGGCCACGTCGTCCGAATGCAGCTGGAAGTCGGCCAGGTAGGTGTACATGGGGTACATCAGGGCTTCCCGGATGCTGGAGTGCTCCAGGCCCAGCGAGTGGCCGAACTCGTGCGCCGCAACCAGGAAGAGGCTGTAACCTGGGGGTGCACAGCGGCAACAGGGGCTGGACTGGGGCCCTGCTTTGGAGGCCTCGCTTGGGGGCCCTCAACCCCCGTGGCCCCTGGGACATCGCCTCCCCTCACTGCCCTTCCCCCTTCTGAGGAAGGCACCCATTACTCTGGGCTGCCAGAGAGCCCTCCCCACACGCTTGCCCAGCCCTGTCTGACTTGGGGGGCACTGCTCATCTCCATTTCTTGGCCAAAGACATCATGGGGCCAGCATGGCTATACGCCAAAGGCTCAGGGAACTCTGTTACCTTTCCCACCCAAGTGGCACCTATCTATCTACTCACATCTGCCTGCTTCGGAACTGCTAGATGGGCGGGAGCTGGAGCAAAGAACGGGGGCTCACCCCGTTGCGCGGCACTCAGGGTGGCAGCTGACAAACTCAGCATTGTTAACCGCTGAGCGATCGTGCCCTGTGTGTATGTAGGGTACGTACAGGCGTGTACCGCTAAGGCCGCCCCACCAGCTTCCCGGCGGGGCGGATAGAGGGGCTTCCCCCGTACCTTGGTCAGGGCAAAGGCCCCACTTCTTGTCTGCATCGTAGTCGCCGGTGGTGGCGCACCAGAGTTTCCCGTCGCTGCGTCCCTCGGAGGTGCAGCTGCTGTACGTCTTGCCCAGGAACTTGAAGGGGAAGGAGCAGGGGTCGCCCTGGGAGTTCCCTCCAATCACGGCCGTGTCTGGGGGGGGGGAGAATTCAGTCTTGGTCCCCAGCCCCAGAAGCCCCCCCCCCACTGGCCAGGCAGGAGGGACGGGAAGACCGAAGACGGCTGTTGCTTGGGCAGGGCAGGGGGCAGGGGAAAGGCCTGAAGCTGAGCCCGAGACGGTCAGGGCTGGTCTGCGGGCTCTGCAGCTGCAGCCCCCCCCCGGTAATGCCAACACTGAGTGTGTCCCTGAGCACATGCAGAGTGCTTTCCCCACACCGCACATTCCCCCAATCCCAGCACACCTCTATTCGGGCAGAAGCCGTATTTCTTGTCCTGGTCAAAGTTGGCGGTGGTCGCGCACCAGCGGTAGCCGTCCGTGCGCCCATCGGTGGTGCAGCCCTGGTAGGATTTGCCATCGAAGACGAAGGGGAAAACGCACTTGTCCCCGTTGCTGTTCCCGTCGTAGGTGAAGAGGACTAGCAGAGCAGCCAGGAAAAAGGAAGTCACCCATTAATTCCGGAGAACCCAACTTCCCACGGGGAGGCAGCTCCGTTCGCTTCAGTGTTTGCCCGTTTATTCAATTTCTGTGCCACCCAACGTGCCAGAGAGAACGCCAGTGGTTCACCACTAAACAGAGAGCAGGGGCCTCAGAGAAGCCCTCCCCCCACCTCCCCCTGGCTGGATTCTCAGTAAGGGCCTGGTTGCCTCCGCCCCCTCCGGGTTTTAGCTCCTCCCCCTGGGAGGGACTGTGCAGCTCAGCTTTCCAAAGCCAGATGCCCCCTTCCGGACACCCCCCCCATCTCCCCACACGCTGTGGGGCAATCAGGACTTCAATCCTGATCAATCCCATCACTAGAGCCTATTAAGAAGAGACTGGACAGCCACTTGTCCACTGCTTGAGCAGGGGGCTGGACTAGAGGATCTCCAATGTCCCTTCCATCCTATATTCTATTCTATACTCTGTTCTATTCCATACTCCAGACATGTCAAACACAAGGCCCGGGGGCCGGGTGCGGCCCGCAAAGTGGTTTCATGTGGCCCGCAAAGCCATCCTGGAAACAGTGAGGGAAACGGCCCCCACTGCCTTGGCCCTGGCCTGTTTTTCTCCCTCCCTCATCTCAAATATTTTCCTACCACTCTGTACTTAGGAAGGAAGGAAGGAAGGAAGGAAGGAGAGGGAGGGTCTAAGGGAAGTCCTGCCTTAGTCCTGCCCTGCTGCCCTTTCACCATCCCCTTGCCCCCTCCTCCTGGCCTATCCTGGGGTCTCCCATCCTATTGCTAAGGAAGCTTTGGATACAAAGCTGGGTCTCCTCCCATGGAGATGGAATGGGCCTCCCTCTGATTTTGCCCTCATACCCATCATGAGCAACCTGGCTAAGGAGAGCAAGCACCGCAACAGCAGCCTTGAGGAGGAGGTAAGTGCAGCTGGGTGCCCCCTTGGGGAAGTGGGGCTGGGCTTGGTGCCACGGGCGCTCGAGGGCCAGGCTGGGCATTTGACCTCTGCTGCCCAGGGCTCCGGGCAGCCTGCACCACCATCCAGCCCCCCCCCCCGCATGGCCTGAGAGGAACAGTGAGGCTCCTCAAGTGGACCAGGCCTTGGCACTTGCCCTGGTCCCCCCCCCCTTCTGCCAGAGACCCTCAGATCTGTCCCACTCCTGCCGAGGCCCCCACAGGCTCCCTTGACCTGAATGATGTAGAGCTGGCCACGCCCACCCAGTAGACCACACCCACCCTGGCCACACCCAGCTGCCCCCCACCCCGAGGGCAACCGCAATGCTGATGCGGCCCTCAATGAAATTGAGTTTGACACCCCTGCTATACTCTGTTCTATTCTATTCTATTATTCTATTCCAGTGATGGCGAACCTTTTAGAGACCGAGTGCCCAAACTGCAACCCAAAACCCACTTATGCATCGTCGAGTGCCAGGTGGGTGTGGCCCATTGGGTGGGCGTGGCCCATTGGCTGGGCGTGGCTGCAGTGGTAACGGCAGACTGGGTGGGACTAAAAAGTTCAATCAATTCCAACTTTGCAAGATCTTTTTTTTTCCCGCGAGAAGTTGAAATTGACTGAATCTTTTTTTTTTTTTGCACATGGTGGAGGCCTAAAGCAAAAAAGTTTTATAAAACCCAGCTGAAGGCCTAGGACTGGGGCGACGGCATGCATGCCCACAGAGAGGGCTCTGAGTGCCATCTCTGGCACCCGTGCCATAGGTTCGCCACCTCTATTCTATTCTATTCTATTCTATTCTATTCTATTCTATTCTATTCTATTCTATTCTATTCCATATTCTATATTCTATTCTATTCTATTCTATATTCTATTCTATTCCATATTCTATTCCATTCCATTCTATTCTATTCTATTCCATATTCTATTCTATATTCTATATTCTATTCTATTCTACTCTATTCTATTCTATTCCATATTCTATTCCATATTCTATTCTATATTCTATATTCTATATTCTATTCTATATTCTATTCTATATTCTATTCTATATTCTATTCTATTCTATTCTATTCTATTCTATTCTATCCTATCATAGTTTCTATTTTGCCACTACCACTACCACTACTCCATTCCATTCTCCCTGCCCACTTTCCAAGCCCTGGCTACTCACGTTCGCTGGGGCAGAAGCCGTATTTCTTGTCGCGGTCAAAGTTGGCGGTGGTGGCACACCAGGGCAGCCCGTCCTCTCGCCCTTCGGTCGTGCAGGAGGAGTAGCTTTTGCCCTCAAAGGTGAAGGGGAAGCGGCAGGAGGACCCGTTGGCATTCCCGTAGTAGGTCTTCACCACTGGTCGGAGGAGAGGAGAGCGGGCGTCAGGCGGACAAGGCTCCAGGGCCCAGCGAAGCACCCGGACAGCAAGGGGCGTCAAACTCACCGAGGCCCTTGCCCAGCGTCCAGAACTCGTCGTCGTCAAAATGGGCATCTCCGCTGAACCGGTCTTTGCCAGGAGGGAAGGCGTGGGCGAGAAGCCCATCCTTGCCATCAAAAGGGTAGCCGTCACCGTGCTCTGGGGGGGGAGGGGAGGGAAGGCCGGGGCAGCAGGGGGGGGAGGGAGGAGAAAGGTTACAATTTGAGCAGAAATTCTTCCAAGTTCCCAGCCTCCAGACCAGGGGTAGGCAACCTTGGCTCTTTTATGACTTGTGGACTTCAACTCCCAGAATTCCTCAGCCAGCTTTGCTGGCTGAGGAATTCTGGGAGTTGAAGTCCACAAGTCATAAAAGAGCCAAGGTTGCCTACCCCTGCTCCAGACAGGTGGGGGGGGGGGCGATCCCAGCCGTCCCCCAAGCCTCTCCTCCCCTCCAGCTCACCTCCGGTCCCAAACTGGATGAGAATGTCCACCTCCCCTTCCTCCTGGCGGGTGAAGGTGAGCGGCGCCACCTGGCTCCACACCTTGAAGGCCCGGGCAAAGGCGTCTTCGATGACCGAGCGGTCCAGGTCGGGGGAGTAGTTGACCACCCTGCCGAAGAACCAAGGCTCAGAGGCTGCCCGGTGTGCCAGGCGCCCCAGCCCCCTCCTCGCTCCCCCCTCCCGTGGAAAAGTACAGCTCTGCCTCTGAGGGGTGGGCAGCCTCCCCAATCTGCTTCCCCCCCCCCGGGTATCTTGGGGTCCCGCCCATTTGCAGTCTGCCACGGGGGGGGGCTGTGAAGGGTTAGGTGGGGGCGCCTCTCCCTCACCGGTAGGTGAGGTCTGTGTGGTCCCACTTGAGGTCGCCCTGGAAGGTCTGGAAGTGCCCGACGTCCGGGACTCCGCAGCGGGGCGCCCGCATGGCCGCCAGGGTGGGGGCGTCCACTGCCCCTGTTTCCGGCAAGCCCAGCCGCTTCTGCATCGCCCTGAGCGGGGTCTCCAGCTTCACCTGCCCGCCGGGGTTGGTCGCCGTCAAGTACCCGTAACGCTGGAGGTAGCGCTG